GCATACAAAGTGGTTAGGCACTGACCAATATTTGTTGGGCGGTGTCCTGACAATTTTGTTGGAGCACAAATATGATGACAATTTGCAACAACTATGTGAAGAGCTGTCATCGTGCTCTGTCTGCAATAATTTATATTCATATGTATTTTGTGTGGACGATTGCGCTTAATAGTCATATGCATGCTCACATATATGGCTCTGTGCATGACTATAGGTATGCTCCTACTTCAATGACAACATTTATTCACAACTTGACAAAGCTCAAGTTCGCTGGTACAGAGAAGAAGTGGCCTAATCTCAGAGGCAGAGCCGTGGAGGTACGTGCGCTCACCCAACCGATTTGCAACCTTTGGGCCGCTAAAACTAATCATAGCGACAAAAACGACTTTTTCATCAAAATGCTGCTGGAAAGATCATGCGAATATGATCAAGTGGTCATTGATCATCCCGACGTTCCGCGGCTTGACGATCAGGCGCCCCGACATATATATATATATATATACATACGTTTTTTCTTTTCAGATACTCAGCATTCGTTCATTTTGTTCTGTTTATATGCACGTGTATATGCACGGTTGGACAATTTGAGGTGGCTCGGCGGCTTCAGTCGGTGGCTACAGAGTTCATTGCTCTCTACAAAGCGGCGAAAACTGCATGGGGTCTACTTGGAGATTTTTTTTGCATCACCAAGAAATTCCATGATTTGTTCCACTTGGCACAGCGAGCTAACCAAATAAATCCTGCTTTGACCTCCTGCATGCAGCAAGAGGATCTCATGGGCAAGATCAAACAATTAATGATTAAGTGCGTTCAGTCGGCCAAACCGATCACAGCTGTGCACAAGGCCATAACCAAATACCGTCTTGCTTTGCACCTGGAGCATCGCTGAACATTGCCATTCGAGAGTGAGTTTGCAGACAAATAGATACAGCTGCAGCAATGCAGGTCCTCATCCTGCACACAAATCCAAGATGAACAAAGGTTGCATGCCGCGAAATGATCAATATTTTTTTAAAGATTTTGAATACATATTCGCAAAAAGTTTTGAAAATAAATTTGAAATTTCACAAAAATCAAAATAAAACTAATTTTATATAAAAATAAAAATTATATATATATATATAATTTCTATTTTGTTGCGGCTCACTTTAGTGACGAGCCTTTATTTGACGCGGTCCATTGGTGGGGAGCCACCTCCTTCTTCCTCCTTGCTCTTGCGTTCCTTTCTCTACTGCGTGTCCTCCGCGTCTCCTCGCTCTTCCGCGTTATCGCTTGCAGCGGAAACCGGAAACAGTAATGAATTTAACAAACAGCCGAACAAACAACAAACGTAAACAAATCTTACATGTGTGTGGATGCACTGCCTTGAGTGGCTTCGCATGTGATTTGTTTTCATTTCTTGTTTATTTGTTGTTATGTTCAATGAACGTTTGTGCTGAATTTTACATCTCTAGGGCGGGTGGGTGGGAAAATCCTCACTACCCGGCGGTTTGAAAGGGGGTAGTGAGTGCGACATGCATAAAGTTGCATTTGTTGCCTGCCTTTTCTGTGTCGGTCAAGCCATGGATCTTTTTGTTCATGCAGAGGCCTTCAGGCTGGGAGTGAAACGATCATCGATCAAGCTGCCGTGGGAAAAGGAACCTTTATCTGTTTTTTTCAACAAGAGGGCACGATTGATTTCTCCTCCTGTCTTTGTACCTGCAGTGCGACAATCAGAGGAACCTATTTCTCTTCCAAAAGCCTGTGTGGAAGGAAAAATCAAATGGTCCAGAAAGACAACGGGCATCCCATGGCCAGTGGCGCAAGAGCGTGCCTTAGCAAGGGTGTTAGAATGTTGGCGGATCATAGTCATGGACAACTTACAAGGCTCATTGGTAGGCCAACAGATTCACAGGGCAATTCATGGAGATCCTGAAGCTCCACCAGTCGAACAGACGATAGCTGATGCTTTGGCTGGAAAGTCTTTGGCGACATTGAGGGCCAGATCATCCTCTTTGCTGGAATTTGGACGCTGGAAGAAAGGAATCACAACTGACGCTGGTCTCTTTCCAATTTCGGAAGAATAGGCATATTTGTATGTGAGAGAACTCAGGGAGCACAACGCCCCCAGGACGAAGGCCTCCCGATTCGTGGAAGCCTTGACGTCTGCACATCACATGCTGGGTGCCGATGTTGGAGAGGCAATGCATTCACCTCGTGTGAAGGGCGCTGCAGTTGTTCCTTTTGTAGATCCGAAGAAGAAAGTGCCATTGACTTCAAAGCAGGTTGCTATGTTCGAACAGATTGCAATTTCTGACAGTGGACAGCAAGGGATTTTTGCAGGGTACGTTTGCATGGTCCTTCACATGAGACTACGCTGGTCAGATGGGCAGTTTTGTGTGCAAGAGCCTTACACTGATTTGCACCAGGGGCGCGGCTTCCTGGAGTGCCAGCTGTACCACCACAAGACGGCAGGACGTCAAAAACTGTCGAGAAGACTGTTGCCTGCTGCTTGTGTCATCCCGGGGATCACTGGAGAAGATTGGGCAACGCCTTGGTTGGATCATCGCATAGCGCATGGTCTGAAGGCAGCACAAGGGATCCCTACGATGCCGGCTCCGACAAGTGATGGAAGGTGGTCCATGCTGCCCTTGGAAGCCAGCCAAGAAACGTCTTGGCTGAGAGAGCTCCTTAGAGACTTCGAACCAGCGCCGCCTTTGTTGGACTTGGGAACGCATTCACTGAAAGCTACAATCCTTAGCATGATGGCAAAGGCGGGATGCTCAGGCGATTTGCGCCGACTTGCAGGGTACCATGTGGACCCTCAGAGCCGCATGGCCCTTGAATACAGCCGTGACGCACAGGCACCTGTCTTACATGCGGTGGAAGGGATTATGCTGTCCATACAACACGGCTTATTTGACCCAGACACCACACGAGCTCGTAGATGGCCTCGACCTGGGTGCAACACTTTGGAATTGGCGATGGCCGAGCTGTCAAAGCTTTCAACGGAAGACGGCTGGTACAAGGTCCAGAATAGGTCTTTCCACGATGAGTGGGGCGAACCCGAGCTGTCTGATGGCTGGAGCAGAGTTGAGGAAGCGTCTCATGGTTACTCACCGTCCGTAGGGGGTGAGGACGAGTTTGATGATCAGCTGTCCATATCGTCACTGAGCGAGCCAGAGGACAGACCTGCATTTTTTGGTCCTGAACAACCAGAAGAAGGAGAAGACGCAGAAACAGATCTTGCAGCCCAGATTGTCGGTCAGAGCCTCGCGGAAGACTTGGAACCACGGATCACTGATGTAGTGTTCAAACACAATTTCAGTGGTTGCTGTCACATTGCAAAGCTTGACAATTTTGACCCGTGTGATGGAGAGTCTGTGGTATTGAGGTGTGGGAAAATAGCTACTAAGAATTTTGTGAGGATTGCTAGGGCTGGTAACTATTTCCCATACAAATGTTCACGGTGTTTCACTGATGATTAAACTCGCATCAAACGCAAACTGTTGTGATTTGTGTTGGAGCCTGTTCCTTCATGTTGAGCGAGTGGTCATCGAATACGATGGTTCGGACCTCAAGTGTGTCTCGGAAACCTGCCGTGAAATATGCTTTGCCACACTTTTGGGCTCCAAAACGGGGCAAGAAATTTATCAACAGTAAGGGGCCTCTAATGTTGATGAATTCGTCTGATTTCAATAACCCAAAAATTGCCAGTCGCAGAGGGCCATAATCTCCAAATTCTGTCTCAATTTTAGAGATCACCGAGAGCAGAGTTGCAGAAGTGCCACCGTGGAAGCAGCGACCTCAGTTTGAAATTCAGTTTCGAATTCATTTTTAATTTTCAGTTTCACTTGTTGTCATGTCACTCATGAAACAACAAACACTTACGGCTAACCCTCATGCCTGGTTGAGTGGATTCCTGCAACAGTGTGTCTGCCGTGACCTCAGCATGTAGGACCACAGCAACTGGACTGGATGAGTGTGCAAATGTAACTCACTTGAAGTGCCGTTTTTTTTTTCTTTCCTGTTGACCATTTGTTGGAGTGCACATTCAACCAGAGCCCTGGCGAGACTCCTGACGTACAGACGTCGCAGTGCAAAGGCAGGGATCTCACAGCAAGTGTGTTAAAAAAACAGTTGCATGTCATTCCATGGTTAACAAATGCACGCGGAAAAACTCTCATGTGTGTCAAGTGGATTCCTGTAGCGGTAACGCTGCCGTGACCTCAGTGTGGGATCGTAGCTGCTTGACTGGGTGAGTGTGCAAAGAAGTTTTTTTTGGGTTTTATGTTTGTCAGCCACATGTCAGCATGTAAGAGTGCACAGTCAGCCAGAAGCGTTGTGAGAATCTTGACGTACAGTCGTCATAAGTGCGAAGGCAGGGATCTCACTGAAAACGTTTTTTTTTTTCCTGTCACTCTTGGGTCAACAAACGAACAAACCGTCGAAACTCTCAATGCATGTCACGTAGATTCCTGCTGTAGTGCATAAGCCGTAAAGTGTGGCAAGACACCAGTTACTTGATTGGCTGAGTTTTCAACAAATCATTTCAGTGATATTGTTGCTTGTGTGCGCAGTCAGTCATGTTTTTTTTGCAACGCTGGAACTCCGGCTGAAACGCAGCTGTTGGTGGTGAGGATCTTAGCCACACCTGTCAACAAAGATTTGCTTGCCACTTGTCATGTTGAAGAAAATTTGAACGCCAAGCTCAGAGTACAGTTCAGCATGACAGAGCGAGTCACACGAAACACAGAAGGAAAAAAGAGGATTCAGCTGCGCAGTGAATTTTTTTTAAAGTGCAGAATGAATTCAAATCAGCGTCCACGTCGTCGAAGGACGGATAACACTTGAGAGTGTTGTGAACGTGGCTCCAGTGGACAGAAAGCTGTCCCCCCCCCAAAAAAAACTTTCTTCTGTGGAAGTCAAAGAGAAATAAATCACATGATAACAATGACGTCATGCTGTGTTCCAAGTTGCAATGCAATTTTCAAATTTTTATTTCTTGCACCAAGAGCGAGGGCAGAACCGGGGCGCCGCCATGTCATTGGTGGATAGTGCTGCAGTGTTTGAAGGAAGGGCCCGTGTGATCGGGTTGCCTGATGCCACCATAACTGCAATGGGATTGAGAGGATGGACAACCCATGCCACCTTTGCCTTCTCAGTGGCTACGCAACCGGGGGTGGACGAACAGGCATTTGTGGATGGTGTGGTGGTTCCACTTCTTGGAGCACCAGACCATATAGAAGCGCCTAAGCTCAGGCGTCTCTTTTTTGAGGCGCATACACTTACATCAGCTGATTTGAGACGGAAGGTCGATGCGACCGAAACTGAAGCTCCACGCAAACTCCCGGCACCGGAGATCGCACAGCGGCTGGAGCTGTTGCAAGAGAGAGTTAGGCCGCTCATCATTGCAAATGTGCTGGAGCCATCTCATCAGTTGATAAATGCCTTGGTACAGTGCGTTGAGGACGGAAGAGTCCGCTATGTTGAATGGTCCAGGTGCACATCCCGGACACAAGAAGTGAACAACGTGAAAGAAGATGGAGACTTGAGAGTTTGGAAGACTGACAGTTCAGGTGCAATCAAAGCTGTCAACAAGGAACCTTCACTGTCGGCCAACTTGACGACAGAACTTGATGTCCACAACGCGCTACGGCGCCGGGGCGTGGCGTATGAAGTCGCGCAAGCCATGAGCTTTGAGACGCACGAAAAGGTGATCAACTTTTTCTTCTTCGAGTTGAAGAAGGAGCCGATGGAAGGTTTCTCACCAGTTACTTTACAGCAACTTGCATCGGCAGACAGAGAAATGCATGTGAGGTTAGCAGAGGCCACCAGGGGAGGCCTACGACCAGGCCCAGCAGGTGAACTACCTCTTGACATTCCTGTTCAACAAATCCTGGATGGTCCAGAGTTGCGTTGGATGCTCATGCCGATGCCAAAAAAGTTCAGCAGCAAACCATCTGGCAGAGCCGGCACCGGCTAACAGAAAGCCGGAGACTCAAGATCCAAAGCGCAGCAAAAACGATGTGACAAAGAAGACAAAGGAGGAAGCTGCCAGGTTGAAGAAACTTAAACGCACCCCGATGCCAAAGCAACTTTCGGGATGTGTGCCTTGCAATGATGATGGGCAGCCTTACTGCTTTGGATACAATTTGGGCACTTGCAAGAGCACCACAGATTGTCAACGAGGTCTTCACAAGTGTTGCAAGAAGGGTTGCGGAAAAGGCCATTCGTTTATCAGTGCCCACAAGCAAAGTGCTTGACTAGGGCCAACAGTCACAGAACAGAAGAAAGAATTTTTCAGTGAGGGCGAAGGCCTTCAGGTAGCCGCCTTGCGAAAGCGCAAGCCTGCTGCCAACCTTGACAATGAGTGTCAGCAGTCTGGATTGACATCAAAGCGAAAGCGCTTGGATGACGGTCCACAAGGATCCGAAGGGATTCAAGACCTTTTTCAGAGCATCGACGTGACAGCTATGTCGAGCAGCTTCATAGGGGCTCATCAAGTTGACGCCCCTGACGTTTTGCATGAGGAAGCTCAGCGGAACAGGAACCTTTTTCTTTCGGATGTATTTTGTGGCACTGCAGGAGTTGCAGCAGCCTTTCAATCCCTAGGAGGAGAGGCACTGGGAATAGACCATTTGGTTGACAAGCGCAGGGTCAAAGGTCCCGTCGCGAAAGTTGACCTGTCCAAGAAAGCAGGACAGGACACCGTCATCAAATGGATACAAGAAAGGAAGATTGACGGGGTCATGCTGGCGCCGCCCTGTGGCACTTCGTCCAGGGCACGTGAGATTCCTCTGCCAAAGAAGTTGAGGTGGCGATGTGGTATGCAACCAGAGCCTTTACGGTCCGATGACTGGCCGAACGGGCTACCGCACTTGAAAGGTATAGCTCAGCTTAAAGTGAAGGCAGCAAACAAGTTATATGCCTTCACCAGACGGGTCATACAAGCCTGCATGGATGCAAACATACCATTCATCTGCGAGAACCCGCGCCGGTCCCTTATGTGGAAGACGGATGCTTTCTCTTGTTTACCCGCAGGTTGCCTTTTTCAGAATACTCATGCTTGCATGTATGGTAGCAAGCGACGGAAGAGCACGGCATTACTCATGAACTTCGCTGCCGAGAACTTGAAAAAGGAGTGTGACAACAGTCACGAGCACCTTCCATGGGGCATGGTAGATACAAAAGATGGTGCGGGATTGAGGTTTTCCACAAGCTTGGAGACAGAATATCCTGGACCCCTCTGCAAGCAGTTGGCCTTGGCGTTTTTGGAGCAAATGCAAAGACAAGGAAAACACATGAAACTGCAGGACGAACAAACGGAGCAGCTTCAGAAGATGGGGTCAGGCACCCAACCTAGAGGAGGACGCTCACCTGTCCTCATGGCAGAGTTCCAGTTTAAAGTGGATATCACAACCTTTGATGTGGCACCACCGCAATGCATTGCAGAGGACTCTCCACCTCCTTTTCAAGGAATTCCAGTGGGGGCCAAACTGATTTCTTCTCGAAATTTTTCTGAAGTGGGGAAAGAGGGCGAGAAGAAGGAAGGGCTGAAAGCCACCTATGGTGTTTTTTCGTCCCCATGGGATTTTTTGAGGCGTGCGTTGGCAGTTGAACACCCCTTGGACACCCCACAGCTTGTGGACAAGAGCAACTTGCGTGCGATTGTTTTTCTCAGGGACCACAGCGTGGCTGATGTGAAGGCGTTTAGGGCCAAGCAGCTAAGGCGTTTTGTTGAGAGAGCTGAATTTCTGAAAACGGAGGAGGAAGCCTTAAAGGCAACCTTGGATGGAGACGTCAGGGCAGCCTTGGCCCCAAAGCGCTTGCTCCTGTTCAAGGAGATGATGGAGGAGGCTGGTGTCGGCGACAAAGGACTCTTTGAAGAGATCACACAAGGTTTTTCCCTCACAGGAGACATGCCAGAGTCGGGCCAATTTCCGGCCAAGCTGAAGCCGGCCATGATATCGGTTCAGCAACTGAGAGATTCTGCAGTGTGGGCGAAGAAATTGATTCAAACCTCATGCAAGAGGGTTGGCTCGGATGCTGAAGTGGCGCAAGCTGTATATGATGAGACAGTGCAACAGTTGGCTGATGGCTGGGTAAAAGGGCCTTTCTCTGAGAAGGATCTAGACCTGAAGTATGGGGGATGCTGGATCCCGTCTAAGCGTTTTGGAGTTCGACAAGGTCAAAAAGTGCGTGCAGTTGACGACTTCAGTGAGTTCCTGGTCAATGCATCTGTCACTTCGACAGAGCGCTTGCAACTTTTTGGAATTGACGAGGTTATCAATACTGCAAGGACATTCCTAGGTTCAAACCTTTTGGAAGTAAACGGCGACTTCGCAGAAGCTTGGGGGAGTCCTGGTCTGAGTGCTTTCCAAGGCCCTTGGAGAAGTTTGCAAGGCCGGGCCTTGGACCTAAAGGCGGCATACAAACAACTTGCCCGCCACCCCAAGGACTCCTGGGCCTCAATACTTGCCGTTTGGAATCCTGCCAATTCCAAAGTTGAATTCTACGAGTCGGTCGCACTTCCATTCGGTTCTGTGTGCGCTGTGATGGCGTTTAATAGGGTGGCCAGGGCTCTGAGACTTATCATGTCTGAACTTTTCATGATAGTCAATACAAACTTTTTCGACGATTTCTGCCAGCTCGAAGAGGACCAACTGTGCTCTTCTTCATGGGAGACCGCTGAAATGGTCATGAAACTTTTGGGTTGGAAGATATCAATGTCGGATGACAAGCGGCTTCCTTTTAGCGTGGAATTTCAGATGTTGGGCGCAGTCATTGACCTTTCAAGGAGCAGACAAGGCGTGGTGCAAGTCCGTAACAAAGCCAGCAGGATGGAAGACATCGGAGCGATGGTGAAGGACCTGTGCAACCGTGACTCCATCCCTCTGTCTACCATAGAGACCCTGAAGGGACGGCTACTATACGCGGCCGGCCACACCTTTGGTCGCTGCACCCAACTCTCTATACAACTGATTTCCAGGTTGGCTAGGAGAGGACCTATGGTCTTGCTGGACGACAGGTTCAAAGCCGTTGTGAGGGACGCTTTCAAATGTTTGTCTGAAGCACCCACCAGAGAGGTTGGTGCATGGTCGGGCAGGCAACCAGTAGTTGTTTTTACAGACGGTGCTTGTGAAAACGAAGGGGCCGAGATCACACATGGCGCGACACTCTTTGACCCTGAGTCTGGACGGTCCTTGATGTTTGGCGATTGGGTTCCCGATGTCTGGGTTCAAAAATGGAAAGCAGGTGGGAAGAAACAGCTTATTTGCCAAGCCGAGATATTCCCTATACTGGTCTCTAAAGCGACATGGAGAGCGGAACTGAAGCATCGATCCATACTTTGGTTCATCGACAACAACTCAGCCCTTTCTGCGGTCATCCGCTCTTTCTCCCCAGTGATTGAAAACTATGAGCTCTTGGTACTCAATGCCAATCTAGACCTCAAGCTTCAGTCCATGCAATGGTATGCACGAGTACCGTCCAAATCTAACTTGAGCGACAGTGCTTCAAGGTTGGACTTTGCAGAGCTCGAAGCTCGTGGATTCTTGCGATGCCAGCCGCAATACGGATCCCTCACGATCAATGAAAATGGGGTGGTGGCGTGAGGAACAAAGGTTTCAAGCGCAAACAACAGACGTGTTGCCGACTCCCCAATTCAGTCAATGAAAAAGAGTGAGACCGTTTATCAAGCTGAAGCTGTGATCTGCGATGCGTCCTTTTTTTTGTCAATCAGTTGAAAGTCTGATTTTTTGAGAGAGAGAGATATATATATATAAGAAGTTATATATATATATGATTTGAGTTTGCGTAGGAGCGAGCGAACACGCGAAAGGAACAAAGCAACAAGGTAGAAGTGGACCTAAGTCTAATAAGTTGCGGCTCACTTTAGTGACGAGCCTTTATTTGACGCGGTCCATTGGTGGGGAGCCACCTCCTTCTTCCTCCTTGCTCTTGCGTTCCTTTCTCTACTGCGTGTCCTCCGCGTCTCCTCGCTCTTCCGCGTTATCGCTTGCAGCGGAAACCGGAAACAGTAATGAATTTAACAAACAGCCGAACAAACAACAAACGTAAACAAATCTTACATGTGTGTGGATGCACTGCCTTGAGTGGCTTCGCATGTGATTTGTTTTCATTTCTTGTTTATTTGTTGTTATGTTCAATGAACGTTTGTGCTGAATTTTACATCTCTAGGGCGGGTGGGTGGGAAAATCCTCACTACCCGGCGGTTTGACCCGCCCACCCGACCCCCGCCGGGCGTGAGGAACAAAGGTTTCAAGCGCAAACAACAGACGTGTTGCCGACTCCCCAATTCAGTCAATGAAAAAGAGTGAGACCGTTTATCAAGCTGAAGCTGTGATCTGCGATGCGTCGTTTTTTTTGTCAATCAGTTGAAAGTTTGATTTTTTGAGAGAGAGAGAGAGATATATATATAAGAAGTTATATATATATATGATTTGAGTTTGCGTAGGAGCGAGCGAACACGCGAAAGGAACAAAGCAACAAGGTAGAAGTGGACCTAAGTCTAATAAATATATATATATATATAATTTATATATATATATATATATAAAATAAAAATTATGTATTTTAATAAAATTTTATATATTTTAAAATAAAAATAAAAATTGCATATACGCAAAAATTATAGAAATACATAATTTTTATGTATTATTTAATTTATATATATATATATAAAATTTTATGTTATTTGATCCTTATGGTGTTGAATGTGATAATGAACTGGCCTACGTTCTCTGGCAAGTTGTCGCTCATGCAGAACGTCCTCAAGCTGGAGCATGCGTATGCAGAGAATGAGAAGCTTGGAAGCCGCCTCAACGATGACCTGAAGACGGCAATCCTGATGAGGAGTGTCACAGGCCAATTGAAGGTCTGGTTGCAGCTGCAGGTGACAGAAAATACAACCTACAGCAGAGTGAGAGAGATGGTCCTCATGTACGATGTCTCCACAACACGTTGGTCTGAACAGATGGTGTTGGGTATGGACAGCAGTGGCACAACTGGTGATGGCCCCACACCTATGGAGATAGACCGCGTTGAAAGCAAAGGCAAGGGCAAGAGTGGAGCAAAGGGCAAACAGAAGGGCAAAGGAGATAGCAAAGGCAAGTCAAAAGGCAAGCAGAAGGGCAAAGGTGACAGCAAGGGCAAGTCCAAGGGCTATGACCAAAAGGGCTCTAAGGGCAATGCTGGTGATCGGTCCAAGGGAAAGGGAAAATCAGATGGAAAGCAGTGCTACATTTGCGGCCGTAGTGGGCATTTTGCCCGGGAATGTTGGCAGAATCAAGTTCGAGCCATGCCTCAAAGCTCAGTGGCTCAGACATCAGATGCGGGAGTGCCACAACAGGCACCAATTCAGGGCTCTCCATCGTCTTCAGCTGGTGCAAGTTTCACATATGTTTCAAGCGCGTCCCAACATGGTCAGCAGGTTCAGCAGTCAGTTGGTCAAGGAACTCAGTATCGTGTTGCCAGGATTGTTGAAAACAATGACAAAGACGTGGTGTTTGACTTGGCTGCAAGTTCACAATGTGATGGTTTCTTGCGTGTGGTGCATTTTCATATTGGTGATGACGATGATGACATGGGAGGTGCAGAGTTTCCAGCTGGTGTGAGAGCAGTGGTGGAAGAAGTTCCAGACAACTCCAATTTGGAGACAATCCTTCTGGATTCAGGAGCTGATGCGTCGGTGTTTCCCATCAGTTTGGTGGGAGCTGGAGAAGCTATTAGTTCTCAAGGAACAAAGCTGCAGGACGCTCAGGGGAAATCAATTCCCATCGACAGCATGCGTTTGGTTGAGATCAAAATCCCTACGTCCTCAGGGAACTCAATTGTGCTGAAGGAGAAAGTTGCAATTTCATCCCGTGTTTCCCAACCAATTCTGTGTTTTGGCCATCTTCTGGAGCAAGGATTTGGAATAGACGGCAGAGAGCAATCCCTGATTCATGCGGCAGGTGGCATCAACATACCACTTCAGATGCAGAACAAGAGTATGGCAGTTTTAGGCCATGTCAGGGTTCTTCAAGCTGCTCCTACGGTGCATGGACCTCAGGTTGTCAGAATGGTCAAAGCAGAAGTTGAACAGAAGTTGATCAACAGTCCAATTGGTTGGTCGGTGAATGCAACAGGGTACATAGTTGGAAGACACCTCAGTGACAGTTTTCAGGATCCCTCACTGGCTTTTCCTGGACTTCAAGGTCCACAATGCCGCACCACTATAGCCAAGGGAGATGATGGATGCTGGTACATCTTGGAGCTCAATGAACCTCTACGTGGAATCATTCAGCCAGACTCCAAGTTTCATGACATGGATGGCATGCGCAGTGTTATCACCATTGTCACAGAAGGTGAGAAGTTTCCTGACTTGATGGGTTTTCGATTTGAAGGTGAAGGACATGGAGGTGATGCGTTTGAGGTGCATGAAGACCCAGGCGATGCAGTTTTAGTGGCACCTGAAGATGAGATTCAGGGAGCAGAGATTGCAGTGCCAGAAGCTGCAAGGGGAGGCCGTGACGTTGGTGAGGCACAGGTCATTGTCAGACCAGCCAAGGATGATGAGATTGTTGTGAACGGTGTCACACTTACAGAAGAGAGCTCACTGGCAAGTTTGCGTGCAGCATGTTCTTCATACAACATTTCAACATCAGGTGGCAAGAAGAAATGTTTTGGAAGGTTGATGAACCACCAGAAGAACTTGGAACTGCAAACAATCACTCATGCAGCTCAGGATGCTTTGGATGCCCAGGTACGTGTTCCTCGAGCACCACCACTACCTGAACCTCCAACAGAGGCACTTCAGGACTTGCACAGGTTGACACACACTCCATATCAGCCTTGGTGTGAAAGCTGCGTGGCGCATAGGGCCAGAGCTGACAGGCACCCACATGACTTTTCCTCGAAGGAAGGTTCCTGTCCTACCATTTCCTTTGACTACTTCTACACGAAGGCAGGTGAGGACAGCCAAGATCCAGATGCTTTGGTTGCGTTGGTGCTATGTGACAGTAAGACTGGATACTTGGGATGTGTTCCAATGAACAGCAAGAATCAGTTTGACTTGGCAACAAAAGAAGTCATTGCATTCTGTCAGACGCTTGGTTACAATGATGTGATGCTGCGGTGTGACAATGAGCCTACAGTGTTACAGTTGCAAAGGCTTGTGGTACAAAGCAGACAGCAGATGGGACTCAGAACACAAGCTTGCACACCATCAGCCTACCAACATGGCAATGCTTTGGCTGAGAACGCTATCCAGCGCATACGTGGCCTTGCTGGAAGCATCATGCATGGTTTGCAATTGAAGTTGGCAGCAACTGTGAGTTCAAGTCATGCGCTTTGGTCATGGTGCATGAGGCATGTAGCTTGGGTACTCAACCGTTTCAATCCTCATCAAGGGCTTACTGCATACGAGGTTGTGTATGGCAAAGCTTACAATGGTCAGGTTTGTGAATACGGTGAACCAGTGTTTGGATTCTCAAGGGCCACAATGAAAGGCAACCCTAAGTGGCACAGAATGCTGTTCCTGGGGAAGGTGGAAGGCCAAGACAGTTTCCTTCTCTTCAATGGCACGGCACTCATACTCACGAGATCTGTGCGCAGGGTGAAAACAAATTGGGTAACCCACATGGCGTTTTACAAGGAGTTCAACCTCTACTCATGGCAGTACAAAGTTGGATTTGGTGGCAGAGTTGTGCCAACACGTCGAAGAGTTACTGCAAAATCAGCCTCTTTCACTCCACCCATTGGCCTGATACAGCCCAGCAGTTTGGTGGACGAGGATGCTGAGGCAGTCAAGGCCAAGGCACGTGAAGAGAGAATGGAAGAAGATGAGTTGCAGAGAATGACAGAGTTTGACAAGCCCAAGGAGATCCAGCGTGAGGTTGCGTTTGGGGATGGTCCAGTGTTTGAGGAGCTCAGTGGTCCTTTGACCGTGGCACACCAACCTGAAGCTGTTGTGCCTACCTCTACAAGTGCGACAGTTGCAGAGGGAACAACAAGTGCGACTTTGGTTTCAGGTGTTTTGCCTTCAGGTGAGATGTCTATGGTTTTGCAGCCCGATCCAGGTCTTCAAGTTCCTCAGACTCCAGATGACATGCCTGGTCCATCAGTCCCAATCAGTCCAAGAAACTCTCCAACAACTAGGACTCATGCAGATGATGTTGCAGAAGGAGAAGCAAAACGTGCAAAGGTGGAAGATCCCAAGAAACAACGCATTGAACGTTTGATGGCAGAGCAAAACAGGATGATCAGAACAGTTTCGTTTGGTGATGAAAGTTACCATACTCTGGACTCATACGAGGTTGAGTTTCAGGAGGAGCATGGTGATGTGGAAGATCCATGGAAGGATGAAGATGAGCTATACCTTGCGGGTGTAGGAGAACAGCTATGGAGTGATCACAGTTTGGATCAACAACCACCGCCTCCTGGACCAGAGATTGATGCACTGGCAGATGAGCTGGAAATCAACAGGTTGCTTGAGATGAAGGTTCTGGTCTCTCCCTCAAAGTTTGATGGCGTTGTGCAGGGCAGACTTACAACCAAGTTTGTGCGAGACTGGCGCAAGAAAGTTTACGTTGGGTTTGGAGATTCACGTGAACGTTGGATGCGTAGAAGCAGACTGGTAGCCCGGGAGTATGCAACAACAAAAAGGGACGACACCTTTTCCCCGGCTACAGGTGCTCACACTTCCAATTTACTACCATTACTTTTCCTGGAGCGCAGGGTGGAATCAGAAGGATGTGGTGAACGCTACAAACCTTTGCTGGCCAGTTTGGACATCAAGGATGCGTTTTTGCAGGTACCTCAGGCAGAGCCAACACAAGTTGACCTGAGGGGAACTCCATACGTTGTGCTGAAAAATCTACCTGGTCAAAGACAAGGTTCCAAGGAATGGTACTGGTATTTCAGAAAGTTTTTGGAAGAGCAGTTGCAATTTACGTTTTGCAGTGAGCAACCATGTCTTGCAAGAGTTGCGGAAGCGGCAGTGCTGATGCATGTGGATGATCTACTGTTTTGTGGGTCGAACCGTCGAACCACTACTTCCACAAAGTGTTTCTTCCCAAGTGCCAAGAGAAGTTTACGGTGAATTTTGCAGAGCTTGGTGCAACAGGCTCCAACATCAGTTTCCTCAAGAAGAAGATCATCAGAATGGATGATGGAATTTTGGTGACACCTGGAATTCCAGTAGCAAGGATTGCCGAGGCTTTTGAAGAATCTTTTGGACCGGTGCGGGGGCAAGTCATACCATGTGACAACTCCATACAGCTGGAAGATGTTTCTCAACTTCTGAGCTATGAAGATGCAACAAGTTTTCGATCAGTGG